TGAAATTAGAAGTAATTTCTTATTTTATAAAATCTAGACCAAATCTGGAAGTTGTTAGGTTTATGTGAAATGTGGGAAATGCTTGTGTGTGTGTGTGTGTGTGTGTGTGTGTGTGTGTGTGTGTGTGTGATGTGTAAATGCAAAGAATTGAAAAGTATAAAAATTTAACCATAAGCTGTTTTGAAACTATTTCACTGTTTATAGGAAAGATCAGTTGGATTGAGCCAAATCAGTTGTTTGGGAATCAAATCTTTTTTTCCTCAAAGGAATTCAGCTTTACACTCCCCACCATTTCCTCTGTCAAGCCTGGGTGTTGGAAGGCCTTGCTAGGTTGCTGTTTTTGCCCACAGCAGATGAATTCCTAGTTTTGGGGCCTAGGAGTGTTTAGCTGAAGTGTGTATTGATAGGAAGAATTTAGAGCAGTTCCTTCTGACTGAAATCCTCTAGGAAAGTTTTTTGTTCTTTGTCCTGACAGAGAAAGAGGTTTCCTCTGTGCCTTGTTGGGCTATGATAACAGCCAAGCAGTTCTTCAAGAGTGTGGATTTGGAAACTGTAGCCAGAGGAAGAGAAAAAAAAAGACTTTTTCCTGTATCTCAGGTGTTCAAAGCCCTGGGTTGGAAAAGGAAGATTCGGTTAACACTGTTCCTCTTGAGAATGTTCTACTCATAGAAGGGAAATATATCTTCTCGTGGTATCTCATATAAAAATATTACAAAAGCTGGCATGATTATGCTTACTCTTTAAGAAAAATGCAACTTCCTAGATAATCTGTATAAACTCCTTACATATGTGAATAGTTCACAATTATTAGAGTGAATTTAGGCTGTTAGAGAATTTGAGCAATTCAAAGCCCCCAAATTCACCTTTTTCCTCTGAATTTCACTTGGGGTCTATACATTTTTAGGATAGGAATGACATCTATTTAGGTGTATCTATACCCAGCTTGTGGGGGTGGACTCAGTCTTTTGTCAACAAAAACCTATGTTACATAAATGCAATGATATTGCAAAAGGTCTTTCAGACAAATCTTTTCTTTAGTTTAGAACTAATGTATAGGGCTATTAGATTTCAGTACTTATGTTAAAGAAAAATTATATTTCTTCTCTGTGGGTATAGTGGTAAGTTAGAAAATCACTCAGTATGAGTAGAAAAAACTTGCTGAATTGAAAATGTCAAGTGTACCCCAGGTAGGAAACATTGCAATGCCCTGTGTTGAATTTATTGAAGGCTTTGTGGCTAATGATGGAAACATTATTATTATTATAAGTCTGTCAACTTTAATGTGTCGTCTTAAAGCATTAACTAAAATTTCTGTCCTGCTTGTAGTTGTGAGAAATCAAATGATAACAAAGGAAGTTATGGAGTTACTTTATCTAGAGCTGTGTTGTTCAACACAATAGCCATTAGCCACAAATGATCATTTAAATTTAAATTAATTAAAATTCAGAATTCAGTTTTTCAGTCTCACTATCTTTATGAGAAACTAGAGGTTTAAAAAAATTTTAAAGTCTTTATAGGCTTCTGCCTGCCCTTGTTTTGTTACTGTGTTTAGGAGAAGAGGAAAAACTAAATGATATGGAGGCTATTTATTTTTTAAAATCCAAAGCAAATCTGAACATTAGACTTGTTGGAGCAAAACCATACAGTTCTATCATTGTGATGCATCACAGGAAATATCATCACTGTAAAAACCTTGAGTGGGTAAACCCTTTTACTCTAAGACTGTTCATTTTTGCCTTGAGGTTTTTGTGGTTATGGACAGCATACCACAATCACACTTTTGCTGATACTCCACTGATGTCTAGCAACAATTCACAGCAAGAGAATTTTCATAGCTTTTTCAGGTGTTTGTAATGGGAAATGACTAGAAAAAATGAAGTGGAAAATTGAAGTGGATGCTATCTTGTTTCTCATTTCTGAATAGCTCAGGTCATTCAGTCATTCACCTGATGTGCATTGAGCACACACTATGTGCTTCGTACTGAGTTAAACACTGACTTTACAAACATGGATAAGACATGGCCACTGCCTTCAAGGAACTCAGAACTTGGAATGGATAAGAGACATGTAAAGAGATAATTATAATACAATTAAGTAAGTATAATAATAGAATTATAACTTTGATATATAAAGTCAAGATATATAAGTAAGTGCAAATACATATTTTTGGACTTAAATGATTTATTTTTAGTTTTTTCCATTAAAGTTCTTTTGTCTCTGCCACCTGGTGAAAAAATAAGGACCTAGCAAGTTTGACACAAGCTTTTGATCAACTTATGCTAGAGATGTAAACCTTTAGGTTCAGCTTACCCAGGGTGCAGAGCTGTGTGTTTTGAGTATTTTTGAATTGGTTGGAATCCAGGGGTGTGTGCATGCAGAGTGAAGGGTGGCCTGTCCACTGTACCTGATGTGTGATGGGTATGCACAGTGACAGTCTTCTCCATGTCTCCCTAGCTCTCTGTGCCATTGTGGCCACCATCTGGTTCCCTGTGTGCGCCCACCGTGAGACCACCATCGTGAGCTTTGGCTACTCCCTGTACGCGGGCTGGATTGGTGCCGTGCTGTGCCTTGTGGGTGGCTGTGTCATCGTCTGCTGCTCTGGAGATGCCCAGTCATTTGGCGAAAACCGTTTCTACTACTCTTCGGGTTCCAGCTCCCCTACTCATGCCAAGAGTGCCCATGTATGAGAAGGCTGCCAGCCTGCCTGTGGAGGTGCTGCAGAGGCCCAGCCATGGCCCCAGGTTTGCTCGGTGCAGCCGCACGGGGAAGCCCACTCCTCTGTCAGGCTTCGAAGCCAAAGGTCTAGAAAAGCATCCTGTCTGGCATTTTGTAGTCTTAACAACCCTCCTCCAGTTTTGTCGCCTTAAATCTTTAGCTCAGATAAGGCCCACACATTTTCTCATGGTTTTGCCCACTATTAGCTCTTGGGAATTCTTTTGTTGTTTCTATCTATCTATCTATCTATCTATCTATCTATCTATCTATCTATCTATCTATCTATCTCTATATTCCTCACGCCCTGCCTTTAAATTTTAACTACCTTGCAAACATTGCTGAGATGAGTAGGGGGGAGAGAAGTAAAAGGAGCTTTTCAAACTGTTACAGATGACAATGGGAGCCTCATAAAGATGCCTCTCTGTTCCCTCCCTCTCCTTCAGCTCCAAGGTCATTTAGTTATAAGTGATAGAAAAAGATAGAACTGGGGACGTGGGGTGGAAGAGGAGGGAAATCATGGGACTTTCCCTCCATGGGGTTTCCCTTTTGTAAGCTGTGAGGCAAGGGGTGGGGAATATTGTTTGTGATTTTACATTTATCTGTAAATACTTTTTCAAGAGTGATCGTTTTTATAACCATGGTTTTCCTGAAATTCTCAGTTTATCAGTATGAAGGAAATGAACCAAACAGACTTTTAATTATATGATAAACAGTACAAGTGAGTATAACTCTAACTGACATCCATAGAACGTTTTTGATTTTCAGGTTGTATGATGTAGTTTTTAACCTGACATTTGCATACGATTCAACTTAACACATTTTTAAAAGCTTTTTTTCCCATTTCCCCATTTTCATTCTGTTAGTTATCTTTAAGTGATATTGTTTTGTGATAACATAAATTGTACTGTTGAATTTGGCTTTACGGGTGTAAACACTGAGAGTGTATCAGTATCTGAGACCCCAAACTCTTCAAACATTGATGGTGCATTTTGTTCTTTAAGTGAAATCTGTGCAATAAAATAACAGACTGTCTGCAAAACTGGCCTTGAATATTCTGTTGTATTCAGAGGTATCACATATTGATTTTAAAAAATTTCATTTATCTCTAGTAATTTATAGGGAACCCGATAAGTGACGTGAGTCATCTGCACTGCCCTGAATAATTAAAATGTTATACTTTATTCACTAGATTGAGGTGGCAATGCGTGGTCATAAAAGTGAAACCTAGATGCTCTCTAGGTTTCTTAAGTGGAGTGACATTATGGCATCTTTATGACACAATCAGAAACCAAATGTCAAACATTATACAGTTAAACTTTTTGAATCTACTTTGAACACTTAATAAAGGAATTGGATAGATATAAGAGGAAGTATAAGACAAACTTACTTTATTGGACCTCTAGGTAAAAACACCTATGTAAATTGTTTTCTCAGAAGCATGCATATAGATGTTTGGAAATTTTGGACAAAGACAGACACATTGAATTCATTTTTGTTTGTTTCAATTCCTGAAACTCTGTCAAGTTATGATTCTGCTCTAAAAAAACAGATTACAATCTATTTTGGCAGTATTTTTCCAACAGTACTAATTTCATTAGCTGATAGTATAATAATTGGCAAGTATTTCCTCTTTGGAAATATCCACTTGGGCTAGTTGTTTTGTAGATATTTGTGTGCATTAGATTATGGTCTGGTGGAAACTATTTCTAAATTACTTATGCAGAAAAGACAATCTTCATGTTGGCTAAAATATTTGATTAGGTATGATACAGTTTTTGTAAGGACACAAGTCATGTGATTATACTGGAGAACCCTCCTGACCTCATAAAAACTTGTCTGGGTATAATGATTGTGAATAGGAATGGAACAAAAGGCATTCGGGAGTGGGGGCGGACAATTAAGGCTTTGGGTCTCCGCATCCTCTCTCCTCCTAACCACAGACTTAAATCAAAAGTGTCAAGTTGTTCTCTCCTCTTATGGATGTATGTGCCCAGTCATCTACCTCCTTCTCTGAGCCCCACTTCTACCTGCACCCCAAATCTCTCCTAGCTGATCACTGCCTGTCTAATTAGGAATTCCATTTTGTAGGTCATAACTTCAGTGTGAGGGATGTAAGGAGGGGTAGTTGTTCCTCTAGATCAGCACTGTCCAGTAGAAATAGACTAGGAGCCACATAGGTAGTTAAAAATTTTCTAGGAGCCACCTTAACAAAGCTAGACACAAAACAAGTGAAATTAATTTTAATATATTGCATTTAATCAATACATCTCAAATATTATTATTTTAATATGTAAACAATTTTTAACAGGATATCTATGTTTTTCTTTTTGTACTAAGTCTTTGGATTCCAGTGTGTATTTAACACATACAGCACATCTTAATTGCACTAGCCACACTTTATTGATTTTAATTTTTAAAATTTTATTTTGTTATTAGTTTCAAGTATACAGTACATTGGTTAGACATTTGTATAATTTATAAATGATCCCCCTGTTTGTTCTTTCTCTCTTCTGGTTTTCCACCTAGCCATTACATTAATGCTGACTGCATTCCCTATGCTGTGCTCCCCATCCCTGTGACCATCTATCAACTACTAATTTGTACTTCTTTAACCCTTCACCCCAATTCCCCTCCCCTCTGGCCTTCACCATAGATTGTCTTCTATATTTTAAGTCTGTTTTTGATTAGTTTGTTCTTTTTGTTCCTTAGATTCCTCATATAAGTGAAATCATATGGTATTTATCTTTCTCTGTCTGACTTATTTCACTCAGCATTATAACCTCTAGGTCCATCCATGTCACTGCAAATGGTAGGATTTCATTTTTTTAATGGCTGGGTAATATTCCATTATATATATAAACCATAATTTCTTTATCCAGTCATCTGTTGATGGGTATTTAGGTCGCTTTCATATCTTGGTTACTGTAAATTGTGCTGCCATGAACATAGGGGTGCACAGATCTTTATTGTTTTGGTTTTCTTTGGATAAATACCCAGAAATACAATTACTGGGTCAAAAGGATGTCTGTTTTTAATTTTTCTGAGAAATCTTCAGACTGTTTTCCCTAGCGGCTGTACCAATTTACAATCCCGTCAACAGTGTATGAGGGCTCCCTTTTCTCCACATCCTCACCAACACTTCTTGTTTAGCCACACTTTAAGTGCTTGGTGGCCGCATAGAGCTGGTAGCTATTGGATTGGGCAGCACAGCTATAGAACAACAGGTTTGCCTCAGTAACCACCAAGAGGAATTCAGTCTTGATGATTTTGTCTGCTCTCCTTAAAGCTCCATTAGAACCTGGCAATTACAGTTTCAATAATTGTCACCCAGGGAAAGACAATGACTCCAATCACAGGTAAAATGGCAGACCCAAAGTGCTACCTAAAAAATAGGGAAAAGGGAATTCATGCTCTTGAAACCTGTTTGTGCCAGGAACTTCACACATCTAATTCTCTCAACAGTCCTCACTGTATAGATGAGGAAAATGAGACCTAGATTGTTAAGGTGAGATAGCAACTATGATATAGAACTAAAATTGGATTTAAGTCTAACGCTAAAGCCCTAGTCCTCCAATTTAAGAATCACCATTAGGAAGTCAGGTTAATGCAGATTCTTCCTCTTCACCACCAGAAACCAATGCTGGATGGTACCCCAAAATCTGCATTTTTATTGTACACCCTCAGTGGTTCTAATGAGGTGGTCCCCATGCAACAGGGAAGGGAAAGGCCTTTTTCTTATGCCTTTCTGTAGTGTAGCTAATCCCCCTCTTTGTCTCTCTTGGATGGCCCTCCGAGGGGAGATGACTTTGAAAGTTATATCCAGCTTCTGCCCACTCTTTGGCCTACTCTGAAGAGACCACATGCAGGGGATTTTCAGTCTGAAAGAACCAGTTTAGCCCATGCTTTCCAAGAATTTGATATAAACCGAATTAGAGACAGAATGTTTCAAGGAAATCTCTGAATCTAGGGATGCTAGTTACAATACAGCAACAAAAAAAAGAGAAGATTGTGTGCTTAAAGAATACAAGTTACATATTTGTGCTGAATTGGTGGTTTGGGATAACAATAGAACAAGGTTTGGTTCTATTCTGCCCTGTGTGTGTGTGTTTTTTTATTTCAGATTTGCGGGTTAGTGTTTTTCTATACAATGTACACAATGTGAACTGCCACATCTTAAATGTTTGGCAGGACATTCATGCTCATGACATCACATGCTGGGAGGACAGGGAGGCCACTGTGGGTCTGGCTTCGCGGAGAGGCAGCATCAGTGCTGCCATTGAGATGTCCCCACAAAAGAGTATGTGACAGCCAGATGTGCAGCTTAATAGAGACTGAACCAGAATTGTGGGTGGAACATTGGCACATGCTGCTTGTGGCTTGAATAGCAGCTCTTGAGGAATCTATATTTCTCTACCTCAATGCAGAATCTGAGAGCTCAGGCTTTGTGGCCCTGTGGCCGGGGGAGGGAATGGAGATGGAGGGACTTGTCACTGCTCCATGCCCCATTGTTGAAATGAAAAACGTGGAAATGTTAATTAAGCTCTTTCTAGAGGATTGTGGAAGGTAAGAATTGCTTATGTTTTATATCAGAGTTACCTTCCAAATAACAAGGAACACCTGGTTGTCTAGAGTTTTCTTTAATTAAAACAGTTATTTCTCTTATGTTGAGTTTTATACAGCTTTGCTTTTCAAACTGTAACGTGCATACAGACCATCTGGGGATCTTGTTAAACTGCAGATTCTGACCCAGCAGGGCTGTGGTAGGGCCTGGGATTCTGCATTTTAACAAGTTCTCAGGGGATTCTGATGGTGTTGATCTGGAATCACATTTGGAGTAATATAAAAAATTTGAATACTGTAGAACAATACAAATAAAAATTACCCATAATTTCATTATCAGTGATTTCTTTTGGAGACATTCTTGCTCATCATTTTATTTTAAAAACCACTAACGTGCTCTACATATAGTTTT